ACTTCGCTTCTCCCTGTTTTTAAAAATAAAACCCATTCTTCTCACATTTTTTTTTTTCATGCTTCTTTCTGTATCCCCCCCACCCAAAAATGTTTAACTGATGATGTTATACCATAGATGTATATATTTACATTCTTTTGTATGTACAGACAGATACATTTTATCACTTAAACTTTATTTCTAGAGGATATCCATATTTGAGTAACCGCTTTGTTTATTTAGTAAATGGTATATTTATTTTGTTTACCAGTTTGAATATTAGCGCTTTTATTTAATAAGATTTCTCTAATATTCAGGCCATTAGAGAAAAATATACTGATTAATAAATAAATGGATCATCTACTCAAATATGGTTATCCATAAAGAATGTCTAATTGATCAAATCTGTTGGATTAATAAATGAAAAATACATTACTTTTTTTAGAAATTACACATATATATGTATTGGCACACATACATAATATTTATCATACCACAGAAATACTTATTTTGTTCATATACTAATATAGCATTAATACTATATTTTTTACTGCAGGGAAATATTAAAGGTGTACAGATGAATTGAAAAGATAATAGCTAAACAGAAATTTTACAGAAATCTCATGATTGTATGTATTTTTTAAAAAATAAGCAAAGAAGAAAATATATAATTTGAATTAATCCTCTAAAAATGACTAATAGAAAATATTTAATAAGCCATTCAACATAAACAGTTCTTGCTTATTTTTCAATTCTATTTTAAAACCAATTTATAACTGTTTTTAAGCACTTGCAAACTTATTTAGCAATGTAATGCACGCTGGACATTTTCCTTTTTAAAAATTATTAAAAAGTCCTTTTTCTTTTTTTTTTTTTTCAAAATCTTATCCACTTAGTTAGACATGGCTTAAAGCCTTTAAAGAAGCAAAAGTTTATTTCATAATCGATAAGCTTTCACTTAAGGCAGCCATAGGAATTTAACTTTAAAGATGTGGTTATAAATTTAATACTAGAACTATTTACTGTGAAATTTGTAATATAACAGTTTTTGGCATTGCAGTCTCATTTTATGTTGTACTGAGATATGTATATCTGGGCAGCAATTTTCGTCTGTGCATGTTTCATTTAAAAACAGCACAAGTTCTGATTGGCATTGGAATATAAAATTTTCAATATTTGAATGCTTTCAGTTAACACACCTTCTCTGTCTCTCTCATATATGAGGCATGGTGGAGTAATGGATATCGGCTTAGATTGTGGAATCGCAGAGCCGAGTTTGAATCCAGGTTGAACCCATTACATTCACTTACATGCTAATACCCTTGGGAAAGGTGTGAATCCTCTTCTTCTTCCAGCTATGGGTTAAATAGCAGGACAGACTGGGTTCTATAGCCTTGGATGGCAACTGGTCTAGGAGAAGGACAACTCTGAATTCAAAACCTGCGGAGGGTTGTTTGGGAACCTTGTGGCATGTAGTGCACCAGGTCTCTGTATTCGGCCCTTCAAAAAGTGTGGATGGTCCTGCACGAAGCCTTCACCACTATAATCGAATCTCACGTGCCGGTGTTGGGCTGTCAGTTTCCTGGAAACTGATCTGCTTGACCATCATATGTCAAACCCGATGGGAGAATCGATTTTTTATATATATATATATATATATATATATATATATATATATATATATTTTTGGTTGGATAGATGTGAGTTTGTTAGATGTTAGCTCTATCTCTGATATTGAGCGCTTTCTAATAAGTACCATATAATATATAAATAATTATATATATATATATATATATATATATATATACATATATATATATTTATTTATATTTATATACACACACTTTTCATATATATATATATATATATCACACCTCTAGCATGACTGAGTTTCATGCTTGATTTAATCTTCAGGTGCTGAGCTTAAATTGACCATTTTACAGTTTGAATCAAAATATACTTTGCTATTACAATGCTGATGTGGTGATACTTAATATTACAAATATTTAATATTGAACCTTAAAAATAATAAAGTTAAGAAAATAAGTGGGAGAAAAGAAAAGAGAGAAGATTAACTCTTAAATCTTTATTAATTCTTTTCTACCTTTTTCTAGTATATCGTATATCACTTTTTTCTTACCTTTGTTTCTTGGTCCTTTTAATTACCCCACTTTGATCATTATTTTTTTCTCTATTTTTTTCTCTCTATTTTCTTTTTCCATTTTAAGTTTAAAATTTAATTTTCTTTTCTCCCACTTATTTTTGTTGTTAAGTTAACAAACATTCTATTCTATAAACTCAGGTCTGGAATGTTGATTAAATCAACTTAGACTATATAAATGGTTCAAGTGTACCATGAAATACCAGGAATAAATATATGAGATTAATAATTTCAGGTGTCCTTTTTCCTTTCTTTGATCAGATGTTTCAACAAAAATGGTGATACAATTCCTCTGCTTTATGTTTTTAAATTTTAAGATTACCTGCTTATACTCTCATGTCAGAACAAGTCAAATGGATCATGCATGAAAGAAATGTGGCTGTCAGTCAAACTACTCCATACAACACCCAGTGTAACAGACTAACTGAAAGATACAACAGCATCTTCCATAAGGCAATACAGCTACTACAACCTGCAAATGACCTCTCACCTTTTGTCTACAAGACTTTGGATACTATTTGAACATCATTAGTCACAATGCTATAATAATTCAACAGTACATGAAAGATTCTTTTCATTTGAAAAGCAAAGCTCATCTTGAATCTCACTTCCATCATGGATCGCAGATCGTGTTACTGTCATTAACTATAGCAAGTATGACTCTTATGTGAGTGGCATAGAACTAGTGGTGGCCAACTCACACTCTGTCATTCCAATGAGAAGTAATCAAATCCCCCACTCAGATATCTGGCCTTCACCAGAGATAGGGTTGAGGACTTCGATCTTTTGATTCTATAAACCTCTCCATTGATAATGTCACTCATAGTCATTAGGGGGATTCAAATCCAGAAATATTGAAAGGTCAAAGTGCAGAAGAATGTGATAATTTTGACACTAATGCTTGATCACTTCTCCCATTATAACAAAACTACCGAAGCTCTGACTCGGACAGCTTGCTTCTAGGAAGTGAAAATATTTGAGGATAAGATATTTTTGTTCAAAAATGGACAGAGCAAACCCTTGAGTATCAGATGAAAAATTGTCAAAATGCTTCTAGATAATTTTGCAAGAGACCTGGTCAAATTTGTGACTGAATAAAACTAAGCAGGAAAGAATGTGTTGAACTTACTTTGCTCTTCCTGTTCTATTTCAATGAGAAAATTCTATGCTATTCAGTAACTGTAAATAAAGACCAAATTTGCAACAAAGCTAGAATTTACTCTGACAGCCACAAGCAATTTGGTTTCTCCCCCAATTAATGCCTTATTTGTTAAGATTGAGATATGATGTCAAAAAAAAAGCATTATCATTAACATTGATTTTATTTTTTATTTGATGATGCATTTTTGTCTATTATTAATTTTTATCTAGTATCTCTTTCACCTTAATTTTACTATGTTTTCATTGCAACTAGTTGGATTGTCATTCTGCAGCAGTGAGTTGAAAATTAAGCTGATGTAAGATTCAAATCACTTTCATCTCAGGAAGCCAGCCTATGAACTGCAGTTGCTCTACCAAATGAGGTACCAGAGCCTGTTGAGGGAGAAACCAAATTGCTTGTGGCTGTAAGAGTAAATTCCAGCCTTGTTACAAATTTGGTCTTTATTTACAGTTACTGAATAACATAGAATTTTCTCATTGAAATAGGACAGGAATAACAAAGTCAATGTATTTTGAGAGAATGCAAGAAATTTCACATTGCCACCCATAGGTATACAAGTAGAGAAATAGAAACAAGATATATTTAGGTGTGTAATGTCTAAGACAGAGCTTTACAAAATGGTGTCATGACACATTAGTGTAATTAATTAATTACCTGTTCTCTCTTTAATTGGTAGTAAAATTTGTTATTGAGGTTTTTCCTTTTATATACATTTCAAATTAAATGTTTGACTTGGCTGACAAAACTTAAGTAATGCATTGCAAAAAAAAAATGCCTTAAGGTAATTTTAATCAAACATTTCACGCAATTTAAGAATAAGAATGCTGAAGAAAACCTTGTATCAGAGATTTTTTTTAAGACTATAGCAGATTGTTATCCCAGCTTTTGTACTTGATATCCTTATTAGAATTGAATTCTTTAACATATCACTTCTTCTAAAATTACTTTTGTAGAAAATATCAAATTGTGTATCATTTGTATTTAATATAGGTAAGCAAATTTGGACACAACATTTGTATTTTTTTATGTAGACTAGTGTCCTTAAATTAGTTTTTAGTCAAGGACTTAAATTTAGACATTAAATTTGTGAAGAACTTTCCTTTTCTATTAGGAGGGAAAAATGTTACTACAAAATTAAATGTTTGTTTCATAAAGAGAATTTAGTTTTCTTTCAGTTTACATTTATTTAAAATATAAACTGCATGTTATTGTTCAGGAAACTCTCAAATACCATAATCATTCAGAATAAAATATCTTTGTGCATATGCAACAGATTTAGCAGCCTATAAAAACATCTTTTACAAAGTTGTTTTATTTTTAAAATGCCATTAAAATTCCCTTTTGACATTAATTATAAAGCCTGAGTCATTGATGCTCTGCATCTCATTTATAAATGCCAACACACTGAAGAGTCAATCTGTGTTTGCTGGTTGCAAAGACAATTTCTGTTGGCTTTTATTTTAAATTTATTTAATTCTAGTTTATCTTTAAATTATTACTCACTGTAATTCATTCTGATTTCACTGTATATTTTGAGATTTGATGCTTGTATTTCTATACAAAACATTATTCAGAATAGCAATGAAAGAAATAATAAACAATAAATTAGATGATAATTATTTTTCCAAACCTAAAATATTTTACATTTAAATTAATATAATTAATTTTTTTTTTTTTTTTTTTTTTTTTTTTTTTCAGGTGCTATTCCCTAAATTAAAAAAAAAATATGGATGTCTAATGGTAAGTTTCAAAAAAATGCTTAATTTTTTAATCTCTTAGGATAGATTTCAAGTTGTATATGTTGAAATATTTTATTAAATTTATTTTAATCTCTCCAGCAGTTTCCTTTGAAACATTAAATGCATTTTGATGGAATAAAACAGCAAAGTCTGAATGTTGACTGTTAACAGTAAATTATTTTGTGTGTTTTTTTATCATTTTATTAAATTAGAACTGAAGCAAATATATACACCCTGAAAGTTGAAATTAGTTAAATCTAATTTCTATGACAATACAGTTAAGATTAAAATTAAGTGTTTATATGTGTAACATAAATCATGTTTTGTCTCCATAATGTAGATTTTGTCCTTAGGAAATTCTTTTTCATGAGTAAAACATATCAAAGTAAAAATTTTTCAAATTATCTTCTCAGCTTCCTTACTTAACAGATCTTAAATTTAAAAAAAATACTTATCAATAACTATACTAGTGTTGTGTCCATAAAAAAAATATATAAATAAAAAAATTAATTATACTGACACTGTTTCAGGTCCATAAAAAATAAATAAAAATTAATTATAATGTCAAAAATAATTAGCATAAAATAAATTATAACAGTTGTAATTATCATTAATTTGCTTTTTTAAAGCAATGAGAATGAAGCCCTACTTTTCTCCTCTACATGCACAAACACGTGACCTTCTGCTTATCAGAGAGGCAGTCAACATGGAAAGACTGTCAACATGTGTAGCAACTAAAATTCCAACTCTTTTTCCTTTTTTAGGCCATAATAGTAACATTTATCTCTTAACACTCAACAAAATTTGAGGTAAAAAACACCAGACACTTCTTGTATTTCCCAACTAAATTATCTGGACACCCATTACACACATCTATAAAAAAACAAAATCAGGAAAAACTGTATACACTTTCCTTATTCTTTACCTTATCATTTGATCAGATTCTAATTTATATTTGATCTACATTTGACCCCAAACTCACAATTTTACTCAGTATTTACTGTCTCTCTCGTTTTCTCCAACCCCTACATAACAACCAGATAATAATATTAGTTTTGCTGTCTCCACTTCTTGATGTTTCTCATTTTTTCGAGTAATTTTGTATATATAAATGTTAGATGGTTTATAATTATTTACTCAATTATAAACTCCCTTACTCTATTGAATATATTTCTTTACACTGCAGTTAACAACTATTTAGTTCCATAATAAAATCTCACATTAAGTTCAATATTTTGAAAAAAGAAACGTAAGCTAAAATTTACAATTCAGTTAAGAATTTTTTTTTCTGCTATTAAATACTTTAGAAAATGAGTAGCAAGATTTTTTAGTATGATTTGTTATGGTTTAGTAAAAATCACAACTTATTGTTACTTTTCTCAGCTTAGTATTAAGTACAAAATTGACACTAAAGAATAAAATGTTTTACTTTCTTTAATATTGTTTTTTATTATTATAATCATTTCACCCCAATCAAGGCAATGGACCACTAAGATACAAGCAGTTACTGAGAGAATGAGAGGAAAACACAATATTAACAAGAGACAACAATAAAAGAACAGGAATTAAAAAGACAGAAGACAACAATTAACATTGCATTTAAATTTTTGACGATCAAAGTTGACTGGAAAGCAAGAAGCCTGGAAGAGAGTTCTACAAGTGAGAAAGTGCCACCAATTTAGTATTACAGTGAAATTTATAGAATCTAGGTATCAAAAAAGAAAGCTTATCAGAAGAATTAGTATGAAAATATTTATAGAAAAGGCACATGAAAGCTATGCTATAGTTGTGTGAAAGTGACTGAAGCCCAAATTTTTTAATCCCAAGACCCCTAGGGTCATAGGAGCACCATGTATACTGCAGCTGTAGTAGAAGTGGTGTTTCTTGCGCAAGATGGCCTGACTGAGTCCAAACCAGTTTTGAATTCAGAGTTTTTCCTTCACCTAGACCAGTTGAATGTAATGAATCTGACTGAAATTTGAACTCTGCTATCTGATTCCCCAGTTCAGGCTACTATCTATTCCTTCTCTGTATTTCTCGTACTTTGTCAAAAAGAGATAGGAAACTAATTGGATGATAATACAAGGGATCAAAAAGTTCACCAGAGTTCTTAAAGACAGGAACTACAAAAGAGGACTTCCAAAAAAACTGGAAAGCAAGAAGTAGCAAGGCATTTGTTGTAGAGTTTAGTGAGAACAGGAGCCAGTTCAGGAGCATATTTCTTTAGGATACTAACAGGGATACCACCAAGTTTTCATGCCTTATGGGAATCTGCTTTGGCAATGATAGCAGAAACCATAAATGGAGTTGTGCATATTGCAAAATATAGATTTGGTTCAAAGATGAAAATAATTTATTATTTTATTATAATTTATTGCTTTCAACTATCATTGGTCATTTTCAAGAACATAAATTGATATGTTATAATTGTGGATTTCTAGAAAGATTTTGATGCATTTTTTCTTATTATAGTGTTTGATGTTTAGAATATTATAAATTTAAATTTTGTTTGTTTAGATAACATTATTTGCAACTATTTATGATATATATAAAACCATTGCTATATTATGTCTATTGAGATTGTCTGCTTATTAATTGTTGAATATTTCAATACACCATTTCTGAGGCTGAAAGTTTTTATTTAATAGATAATTTTTGCTTTTATGATTATGACCAAGCATTTTTTCTATTTCATTTCCTATATCTTTCTGTTACTTTTAAGTATTTGTCAAATATTGGTAGAAATGTAATTTCCTTCTATGCTATTTTGATTATCAGTTTTTGTCATTATTATATGATAAATGGTATAAAAGATTGGCTAATATACAAGTTAAATTTTTTGTTTTATTTATATCGGATATACAGTTTCCTAATGGTTAAGAAAATTCATATCACATTGATCTTGTTTAATATGAAGTTTTGGAGACTAGTATTGGCTACAATAAAGGTAAAAGCTTTTAATTATATGTTTATCACTATAATTGCATGATAAGTGACCGCATATTATATTTTTCATTTCTATGTCATCTTGATCATAGTTTTAGTGTATTTACAATGCAGTAAAATAGGTTTATTATATTTTTGAAACAATTGTTATGTGTTATTGTTATTCATTTTCTTTTAATTTTATTTGCTAACTGTATAATTTTGGAAGCCATTATTTATTAGTGGCAGCTTTGCCAAAATATTGTGTGAAAAGTAGAAATTAGATGACTTATTGGTTAAAGTCTTTATTATTTTTATATTTGTTTATCTTGCAAGATAATGTTTGTGTCCAGTGTGATCAAAATTCTGGTTTTTAGTAGTGAGACTGGTGTGACCTCTACAGGGTACAGGCCTGGACAATGGTATATAGAGGCCATACACCTCCCAGACCAAATGGCTCTCCTCTTTTCCACACTGACAAAATCCAAAGAAGTAGATGTTATTACATTTGTGGATGGCTTGTCTGTAGGAGTTGTTAAAGTTTGTTAGTGTTGATAACCAACTGTCTTCAGGGCTCCACTCTGAATTTTCACTCTGGATTTATTTCCATAGCCTTTTCTGTGTATGGATATACGCACAAGACAGTGGAGTTTTAAAATCAGTGTTTTCTTTCTCCTATATGGACTGCCTTCCCAGGCTGACAAGTTCCATCTACCTGAAAAACTTTATTATAGCTGTCATATATATCTATGTGGATATTGTTTTTGTAATTAAGAAGGCAAGAATTTCTATTTTTTTATATAATTTTCCTTTTGTTTTCAGAAACTTTAGATCACCTTACTATTATTTGAGACATATACAGGTATATAATGAACAAAAGGTAATTGGATGAGTTGCATATTAAAAATTATCACCATTGTGATTTCTTAAACCTAAAATTAAGAAATGTTTATCAACTTTGCTTTTAGGAACTGCAAGATATAAGAACTAAAAATGTATTGGTTTTCTTTTTGCTGTCTCCTTCCTTTTGAAAGTGGTAGAATCATCTGTTCCTTCTCAAAGCAGGATATAAATCCAGCACTACACGTGTTCACAATTCCTGTTGCTTCCTGTCATGTGTTGTGTTTAAAAACTTTTATTGTTGATTGTCTCAAGAGGAATTCTTTCTGATCTGTTTCTTACTGCATTTAGTAACTTGTGAGACAACATGTCAGCTGAACTCCCCATACATACATAGTCCACCTTGTTTATATTTGTGTTCAACTAATATAGTGGAACCCACTTCTGAAAGTGTCTTGTACAATGGCATCAGGAGAACTTTTGGTTCTCTTGACTGGCTTAGTTACAACATCCCACCTTTTCTAGCATTGATTTAACAGACCATTGTCTATTTTCTATCTCAGGCACCTCTTTGCTTTCAAAAGTTAAGTCTTTAGCCTCCATGCCCTGTAAAGATTCTCTTGTAATGACTTCCTTTGCTCTGAGCCTGGAACTATATCATGTGTCAGGTCTCATGTCTGTACCTCACTTTTTACTTCCAGACTCAGCCTTGCTGACACTAGTTGTTGATGTCTTTGTATGCACAATTTCCTTGACATTGACTAGTTTTCTCCTGGCCACCTGCCCAAGGTTCTGTTGGTACGTTCATTTGTAGTGTGATCTATATGTCTCTTTCGTACCTGACCATCCTCTAACCTTACCCGAAAAGTCAGCAGCCAGATCTGTTTCTCTGAAACACCCCTGATATCCATTTGGGTTTTCCTTGAAAATTTGCAGTTGACTGAATACCCAATGTGAAGCATCCTTTGATAGCGTTTTCTATCAGCCAATATTTTAGCCTCATTCACTTTAGTAGTAACATGGGTGCCTAAGATAAGACAAGATCTGGACTGTCTGCACATTAACAACATTGCAGGAGACTGACCCATCATAGATTGCAGCATTCAATGGTACTGGGCTAAAACATGAAGTAAGCAAGTTTCAAGGTACCCTTGAAAATCTTTTAAGTCCACTCTTAATGGCATGTTCTGCCAGTCCATTTGATGATGGATGA